GGTGGAAAATGCAGGCAAAAAACGGGTGCGTCCAACTATTTTGGCTGCAGGGAGGAGGAGGGTACTTGAGGTAACCCCCAAGACGCCTGGGCCTGTGGCCTCGGCGGATTTCAGAAGAAAGAGCAAACCGCTCGAAAGATACTCGAGACTTTCAAAATGGGGAGCAAGCCGTTCGAAAGGAAGTAGAGAATTTCAGAAGAAGGAGCAATCTGCTCGAAAGAGACTAAGGGCTTTCGAAAGACACTAGAGAATATCGACAGAGACAAGAGATATTAAACAACCGCGCGGCTGACAGACCGCTGAGTCCGCGAGAGCGAGAGAAACAAGAGATGTTGAAAACAAGGGGCAGACCGCTCGAAAGCAACTAGAGAATTTCAGAAGAAGGAGCAAACCGCTCGAAAGAGACCAAAGAATTTCAGAACAAGGAGCAGAGAGTTTCAAAACAAGGGGCAATCCGCTCGAAAGAAAGAGACTAGAGAATTTGGCAACAAGGAGCAAACCGCTCAAGAGAGAACTAGAGAAGTTCGAAAGAAAGTCGAGAGTTTGAAAATAAGGAGCAAACCGCTCCAAGGGAACTGGAGAATTTCAGAACAAGTGGCAAGACGCTTGAAACAGACTAGAGAATTTCGATAGAGAAAAGAGAAATTGAAAACAAGGAGCAAACCGCTCGAAAGCAACTAGGTAATTTCAGAAGAAAGACAAACCGCTCGAAAGAGACTAAAGAATTTCAGAAGAAGGATTCGAGAAGTTGAAACCAGGAGCAGACCGTTCAAAAAGAACCAGAATTTCGAAAGAGACCAGAGAATTTGAAAACAAGGAACCAACCGCCCGAAAGGAACTAAAGAATTTCAGAACAAGGAGCAAACCGCTTGAAAGGAACTAGAGAGTTTCAGAACAAGGAGCAAACCGCTGTGAAGACGTTTCAATAAATGGAGCAAGCCGCTCGAAAGGAACTAGAGAATTTCAGAACAAGGAGAAAAACCGCTCGAGGGAGACTAGGGGTATCGAAACCAAGTCACACCGCTCGAAAATGGACAGCGAACGGAACAAACCGCTTGGAAGCGACTATAGATATTGGAACAAAGACGCAAACCGCTCGAAAGGGGCTAGGGAATCTGAGAACCCACCCCCTGCGATGTGACAACACTTCACAGTATGCCCTCCGCGCGACGGGACGGTGCCGAGGACAGTGTGGCACAGTCTCCATCAAGGAGGGTGAGTCAACAGCAACAGCATTCCACAATTCAACATTACCGAAACCAAAGAAAACCGACACGAAACAACGCCTGGACAATAGAGCAACAGTAAGGAAAACCAACACAGATTAAGAAAAACCAAAGGAACCTACACAAACCCAGAGAAACCCCAAAAATTGAAAAAACTAAGAAAAGCTAGAAAAAAATAAATAATTCCTAGATTTCGGGCCTGACCCCGGCTTTTTTTCAGTAACCTTCCTAAACAAGACTGGAGCCTCTCAGAGGCTCTGTAGCCCGCTTTTGAAGCACCATGCAGTTAGCAATCACATGTCAACGTCTCAGTTTAGCATGCTTACCTGAGACTTTGACAATGGAATGATCTCTCATCTGCCCTGCCTCCGTGAATTATAAGCAAAGGATTTATCTTGGAAAATTTTAGTTCCGTTACTCGTGGTCTGCCAGTGAAAAGACCTCCGATAGAAAAGGTACAAATGGGCGCCCAAGAAGAAAACAGGGAGCAAACCGCTCCAAAGAAACTAGGGAATTTCAGAAGGAGGAGAAAACCGCTCGAAAGGAAACTAGAGACTATCGAGAGAGACTAGAGCAATTGAAAACAAGGAACAAAGAGCTCGAAAGGAACTTGAAACGAAAGGAACTTGAAAAGTTCAGAACAAGGAGCAAACCGTTCAAAGCGAAACGGACAATCCGCTCGAAAGGAACTAGAGAATTTCAAAAGCAGGAGAGATTGAAAACAAGGAGCAAACTTTTCGACAGAACTAGACGATTTCAGAAGCTAGAGAATTTCGTCAGAGACTAGAGAGTTTGCAAGCAAGGAGCAAACCGCTCGAAAGGAACTAGAGAGTTTCAGAACAAGAAGCAAACCGTTTGAACAAGCTTAGAGGAAATCGAAAGAGACTAAAGAATTAGCAAACAAGCAGAAAACCGCTCGAAAGGAGCTAGAGAATTTCAGAAGAAGGAGTAGAAGAAGGAACAAACTGTTCGAAAAAAATTAGAGAGTCTCGACAGAGACTAGAGACTTTGAAAGCGAGGAGCAAACCGCTCGAAAGGAACGAGATAATTTCAGGAGAAGGAGGTAACCCTTCGAAAGGGGCTAGGGAATTAATTGAGAACCAGCAGCAAACCGCTCGAAGGAGATCCGAAACTCTTGAAAACGATTGCAGGTTTTAAGACAGAGACAACAGAATTCAAGAACAAAGAACAAACCGATCGCAAGGGACTAGACAGGTAGAGAACACGGGAGCAAGCCGCGCGAAGGAGAATAGATAATTTGAGAACAAAAGGAGCAAACCGCTCGGGAGAGATTAGAAAATTTCTAAAGAGACTAGAGAGTTTCAATAAATGGAGCAAACCGCTCGAAAGGAACTAAAGAATTTCAGAACAAGGAGAAAAACCGCTCGAGGGAGACTAGAGATATCGAAACCAAGTCACACCGCTCGAAAATGGACAGACAAAGGAGCAAACCGCTTCCAAGAGACTTTAATTAGTGGAACAAAGAAGCAAATTGCTTTGCTCGAAAGGGGCTAGGGAATCTGAGAACCAGGAGCAAACCGCTCGAATGACACTAGAGACTTTGCGAACGAAGTGCAGACCGCTCGAAAGACACTAGAACAATGTCGGAAATGACGAGATACTTTGAATACACGGAGCATGCCACTCGAAAGGAACTAGAGTATTTCAGAACAGGGGTAGAGAATTTGGAAGCAGATTGGAGAGTTTGAAAAGAAAGATCACACCGCTCGAAAGGAACTAGCGGATGTCCGAAGAAGGAGCAAACCGCTCGAAAGATACGCGAGTCTAGAGAATTTCGAAAGAGACTAGAGAATTTGAAAACATGGAGCAGACCGCTCGAAAGAAACTATAGAGAACAAGGAGCAAATCGAACGAAAGGAACTAGAGACTTTCAGAAGCAGGGGCAAATCGCTCGAAAGAGGGCAGGGAATCTCGAAAGAGACTAGGGAATTTGACAACAAGGAGCGATAATTTGGCAACAACTAGCAAACAGCTCGAGAGAGAACTCGAGAACTTCGAAAGAAACTCGAGACATTGAAAATAAGGAGCAAACCGCTCGAAAGAGACCAGGGAATTTCGAAACAAGCAGCAAACCACTGGAAGGTAACTAGAATTGCAGAGCAGGGAGCGAACTTTTTGAAAGCGAAAGGAGCTTGATAATTTCAAAGGAGACTAGAGACTTTGAAAACAAGGAGCAAACCGCTCGAAAGGAACTAGAGAATTTCAGAAGAAGGAGCAAACCGTTCGAAAGAGACTAGCGAATTTGAAGACAAGGAACAAACCGCTCCAAGGGGACTTTCAATTCTCGAAAACAGCAGCAAACCACTGGCAAAAGACTAGAGAAGGTTAAAGAAAGGAGCAAACCGCACGAAAGAAACTAGAGAATTTCAAGAGAGACTAGAGAAACAAAACTAGATTGCTCGAGAGAGACTAGAGAGTTTCAGAACAGGGCGAGGGAGTTTGAAAACACGGAGCAAAACGCTCAAGTGCAACAGGGGCTTGGACCGGAAACGCATGTTACCCTCACACTGCCCTCGCAGCTTGTACGGATGCGATAAAGCTTGGACGTACTGATTGCAGGCCACTTTACTTCAGTTCATAGCCCTGCTATCGCACTGTTTCCGCAAGTCTGCCCGGAGGCCATGACCGGCTGTGGCTGGTCTACTCCTTTTTTCAGAACCCCTCCACTGATACGGGTACAGGGACCACGATTGAAAGAAGTATGGGCGAGAATCTGCGGCAAACCACCAATGAAACTTCTCGCATGGCTTGTTCCTGCGACCCTGGAAGAACTATGTATCTCGCGACATCTGCATGTGCTTGAAGAATTGACCACTCACAGCACTCTCACAGTTGCAGAACGCAAAGCCAGAATTGTCTTTTGATCAAGCATGCCTTAGCCGGCTTCACGGCTGTAGCATGACGGCAGCCATTAAGGTTCAAGCACCTCCTTTGCCTGTGCTGGGGCGAAGTGCCATGGTCCGTTCACTCCGGCGCCCTGGAGCTTTGCCACTGCTGCTAGCTTCAACTTCAGAGCGTGCTAGCAGGGAAGTGGTCCTAAATTTCAATGCGCAGTCAGCGGAATCAAACTCATCCGGAACCTGTCAAGGTTCACCTTTGCACCACTTGTGTTGGTCCCGGTGATGATGATGATGATGATGATGATTAATGGCACACGGCTCGCATGCACGATATTGCCCCAGCCACATTCAGTAGAAGTGGATGTGCTGACCAGTGTCCTTAAGTTTTCATATGGAAAGGCGGTCCCTCCGACAAAGGGGAAACAATCAAAGATGAGCGTGTTCCAGGCCAGTCGTACTTGACAGACCGGAATGGAAAGAAGCAGAGGCTCGTACGGGCCACGGACGAGGGGTTGCCTCTGCATCATAGCCCTGGCGAAACGAAAGACTGACAACAGCCCGGCCAGCAGTGGTGCTGATTGTTTGAAGCCTTGCTGTCAGGAGGAATGCAGGCAACGAAAGCCACAGACTGTGGGCAGCCACGAAACGACGGAATCAACAGCGAAATAGCGGGCTGGGCTAGGGCTGGGGTGTTCTGGGTGATTATTTGGGGGTGCAAGCTGCTCTTACGGGGATTGGGCGTTTACGAGGAGGCCTGCCGAAATATGGCCCCAGCGAAAGCAAGACATAGAATCAAGCTGAATGATGCCATTTGCGGCCTGAGCAGAGCCCCCCGACAGCAAGACCTGGCGCTCAATTGAGGGTCCTTTGTCTGAAGTTGAATCATGTTGAAACGAAGGATCCTCGCCCTTGCGGCCCTTGCTCTGCACTCTGCCCGCAGCTTTGTGCCAAACGCAGCCCCGACACTCCGAGCACCATGGTCTGAAGCAAGGGATTGAGCAGACACGTTACTGTACTGTTTCCAAAGCTGGGTCACTAGTACAACATAAACAAATAGGTATATATATATATATATTTATATTTATATTTATATTTATCTGTTTATTTACATTGCATGTATATTTATATACATAATACATATGTGAGTTGAGTTGAACCACCCAGGGGAGCTTGCGGCCTCAGTGCATTGTTCGGCATGCAGATCCTGACGAGGTCCGAAGCACGGTGGGTTCGCAAATGCTGTGTGATGTGCTTTCCAGGGACTGGCGGCACCGGACCGGGAATAACTTGCGAAGTCCAGTATGTTGTGGAGGTTGTAATTGCCGCTGCGAGCTTTCTTTTGCAACTATGACGGGCAACGTCAGTGATGCGCTCCCTCCTCCTCGCGGCACGCTGACTTGTCCGACCCACGCCGACGACAAGCAATTCAGAATTTGACAGCCGCCATGTCAGGATTGCGCTCAAAGGCTTGTTCTCAGGCCCCGTTCGAGATCGCACCCGCTTCGAGATGCCTCGGAACAACAACTTCGACAAATGCCTCGTTCTCACGATATCTCTTCTACAGCCTGTGCCATGATGATTCTTTCCCTGTGCCTTGAGTGCCGATTTGGCAGATGTGACGGAGCAGGGTCACATTTTGAATTTGCAGCACGCGCACATGTCCGAAAGCCAAGGTCACAGCCTTGGCTAAGTTGGAGAAGGATATTGAGGCCAAGATTGAGGAGGCAGATAAAGCGGAGGACAGCAACTTTCCAAGGTGCTATAGTTGGAGGTGGGGCATGGTGGGGCCGAAGTGCCCGAATGCCACTAATGGAAGAATTCATGTTGCCAAGCCTTAAAGTTAGACGCCTGGAGGCCGATCACAGAGGCCTTTGCAGTTTCGAGCCAACTCTGGCAGTACTGTGGCCAGACCACTTCGCAACGCCCCCATGGCAGCGGAAGCAGCGTACCAGTCAGGACAATTCTCGCAAGTCGGAGCTTGCCCGCCTTCTGGCAGCTTGGCGGCAAGCGCAGACACAAAGGCATGCTGCCTACAGCCGTGCAGCTTGCATATTCGAGTGTAGCCATTAGGAGAGACAGGAACACCTGATCCGCGGTCCAGGGTATGAAGTACTTGTAGTTGATTTGGGACCAACATGCAGGCTGAGAAAGACAGTACCAAGACACTGGTAGGCACGCATGCATGTGCAAATCAATCTACTCCCGCCGTCCACAGAGGTGCTGACTCGCACAAGTGCCGCCGCCACCGCATGGCAGATGACCAAGGCTTGCTCCCCAATTAAACGGTCCGGGGTGCAATGCTTTGTGCTTTGGAAACGTTCGAAGAGTAGCGCTTGGCACAAGGGTGCACGAAGCAGGCCAGCGGTCGAGGCAACAGCGAAAAAAAGTAGACACCTGGCCTGGACAACACGACTCGAACATCCATCAGAGAAGATTTTGTTGTCTGTTGGAAGGGACCACACTTCCGTCCTCGCTTCCTAACTCCCCGGATGCAGTGCGGACCTGCCGGTATGCAGGGCGCAATCAATAGCAGTTTCTACAGTAGGATCTTGTCTCGGGATGCTGTTCACATGTCTCGATGGATAAGCTTGGTGAACTGATGCTTTCTGGCCGAAGCGCCGCCTGATATTTCGATGAAAAAATTGACCTGGGAAGCAACACCATCAGGAAATATTCAAGTCCAGGTCAACAGGCGCGACAGAAAACTTAACAATAAATGGAAACCTCATGAGACAACACAAAAAGACTCAATTCAGCGATAAATAATCATAACACATGGAAGCAAAATCAAGAAACCTTAAGCCCCGGGGTGCAACACTTGCTCTACGAACCTGCTGCCTTTGTTGCAGAGATGATTTTTGTCAAATGTGCGAAACCGTCTCGTGCCCCCATTTGTCTCATTGGGCTGAGGTCTATGTCCAGCGTGTTTTGCTTGTTTTAGAACTAGTGCATTGAATGTCTAGCTTGTTTTTATCATATTATGGTGCATGTATTCGCCAATGTGCTTCTGTGTTTGTTCCTAGTGTTTCCCTGTTTGTTTCTTCAAATACTTCGGTGGTTCTGCTACTTTCTGGACTTCAGATCTACTAGCTAGACCTGGGGGTGAAATCAGACACCGAACCCCTATGGAAAAGGATGAACACATGGAACAACAGTCAAACAAAAACCGACAATCTGAAAGCATCCATGAGGCGGGTCATGATATGACACCCAGAGGCCGCTTCATTTGCGGATCACTAACCTTGTCGCAGATAAGCCTTAGTTTCCCATTCCGCTACCAGGTTTCTAAATGTTGCTTGATTCTGCGTTTGCTTCCGGATACCGCTGCGAGAGTGAAATTGTAGTGGTTCCATTTTCTCATCTCGCGTTTGATTTTTCATGTGCCCGATTTCCAATGGCAGTCCCAAAACACTATTTCCAGTATTGAAATTGCGAACAGGTCCCGGCCGTCTTGAAGAAACACAATTTCTCAGCCCCCTGTTTGCTGATTGCTCCAATTTCAATCAAGACACCCCCCAAATCAGTGAAGGAGCTGAAGACGGAGGTGGGCACCAGCGTTGCGGCCGCTATCAGTGAGTTTGTTGGTAAGGACTCCGGTGTCGTGATTTCTGCAGTACAGATGCTGCCCTCCGTCTGAAGCTTTTAGCTGCTATTTTCTGCTCTCCCGAGATACTATCGGGGACTAGTGTCCGAAGAGTCAGCTTTGAGTGCCCATCAGTTACCTCTTCAGTCCCTGAGCCACGTCGCACTCAGCTACGTTGGCCCATGTTGGCCCTTGCAGGAGGACTACAACATAGAAGACGTGACGGCGACAGTGGAAGAGAAAGTCACATCGGCCGTGGAGCGGTTGCAAATGGGCTTTCCATCGCTGTACGTGCTGTGCAGGTTGCCGTTCTTCGGAGGGCTTAGCATAGGACCTGCGAGTTCTTCCCATCACCATGGTCGCTAGAGCCAGTTCGGCTTCTTGTTTGCGTTGTTGCTTCGTGGCTTCGCTGGAGACTCGAGTTTTGATTTGTGTGGTGCTTGGGAATTGGAAGTATTGCAACAGTTCGCTGGATGCTTGTGACCCTGAGAAGTGTCGCTGTTTAGGGTGGTCGGGTCCAAGCTCGATGGTGCTCGGAATTACGGTATAGGGTTCGGGCCGGCAACCCTTTCTGTTCAGTAACTTAGTAGATTTGACCTCAAGCTGCGTGTGGCAGTTCTATTGTAAGCAGATTTGAGCACAAGCCAGGTTTGACAACACTGTTGTCAAATGTGGCAACCCCGATGTCAAAGATGACTTCGGAACATGGTTCTGACATAAACATGCGCAAATGTAATTGTGACAGCAGTGTTGGTGCGCAACAGGTGCGGTAGGGGCCTCATCTTTGACATTCTTCATTTCGAAGCACCACGGCCAAGCCGGATTGAAAGCTGTGCCGCACGCCCCGATTGAAAATAGGTGCAAGTTCACCTTTGTGGATTTGATTTGCAAGCCCCCGTGCCACTGATGGAAACAGGAGCATGAAGTCTTCTGCATCTGGCACACTTTACAGAGGTGGGAGCTTCTACCGACGGTAACTAAGTACTCGCAGTAGGATGATTCTGACAAGGACTCCCAGCTACAACGGATCCCTAGTTCTTGGAAACCTTCTAACGTTGAGACTCTAGAGTCTGAAACTCTATGACACTCCCACAGCACTTACGAAAGCTCATAAAAACCCAAGAGCCACAAATGTAAGAACCCCGGTCCACCATTCGTGAGGTGAAGAAGCTCGACAATGTGTATCTCACTGCCGATGCCGCCAAAGCGGCCCCGGAAGGAAGCAGTCCGATCATTCTTTCCGAGGCATTTTAGAGTTGCTGCTTTTATCGGGGTGTTTAAGGCTTAGGGCCTAGGACCCAGGCCTACCATTAAGGGGTTGCGGTTTTGTGCTTTCGGAAGGTGCCCGGAGCTTCGGAGGAACTTCCCTGTTTGGCTTTTGAGCACAGACCGGCACTTTTCGGCTCAGTTCAACTCGATTCCGAGCAGCTCTACCAACAGCCCACGCGTCTTGAATCTGCATCTTGCCACGGCTTTCTCCACAAGACCATGCGCCTGAACTCACACTTCATCAGCTTAGCCACGGCATTCCCGACACGTTAACCTCAATGCACCAGGCGAGGAATCCTTTTCTGTGCAAACATATGCAGAAGGTAATAGGACGACAGACAAGGGGTTCCGAAACAGTTCCTGGAAGGTCGTGAAACCCGTGGCTGGCCAAATCAAGGAGGGAGCGAAGGAGGCTGCGCTGGCCTTTACCGGCAAGGAGGAGCGCGCGGGCGCACGCGACAGGGTCTGGAATGGGGCTCCCGGTCTCGTGTTTCACAGTTTCAGCGTTGTGTAGAATCGGCTCACTTATCCATGACCACCTCGTCGACCATTTTTTTAATTGTACCTACATAGGCCACTAGGAGCCGCTACCAGCTACCATCACAGGACCATCACTGCTTGCAACGCGCAGTGCACATATATATATATATATAT